GTTGTTGACTGCCTTTGAGTGGAGCACGACTCATCGCAACCCTATGAACAAAAGGCCTAAAGCCCCTCTCTCTACAACTATTGACATTTATCAAAGTTCATAGAGTTTCCAGAGGCATTATTCCCTGACACATGTAGGGTCATAATAAGTACAAACGGATTCTATTAACAACGTCTTTTCTTTTTTCCCCATCATGAAATGTAAACTGTTTTATAGTCATAATTCACTTAAAAATCCTGAAGAATATGGCTGTTTTGTAAAAAGAGCGAAATACACAAGTCTCGAGGATGACAAATGCATGTTTTCCTCGTTGGGGAACAGATAACACACTAAAGAAAGAAGCCACATTAAAATGAAAATGAAGGAGTTTTATGAAATCTTAATCCTCTGACAATTCTGAAATTTGACTGAAATTATGCATCACTTTATGGTTTAAGGAAGGGATAAGCCATAAGAATATGAGTCATATCTTTGTCTTTAATCTCACAATGAAAAAAGGAAAGTGTGGAAAGTTATTATGAAACGAAAGAATTATTTCAAATTTACATAGGCTATTCCTATTAATTCAAGAAAAGGAAAACTGCTAGCTCTAACAGCAAAAGCATGTTACTCATTTTCCTCAAATTAAGCAAATATAAAGAACATTTAATTCTAACATATCTTTATCCATGTCACTGCAGTTAATCAAACAGCATTTACTCCTCAGCGTGGTCAAAAGTATCAGACCATTAAACAAAAAGCACTTAAACCCACTGTGCTAAGTTGATTCTGACTCATAGTGACACATAGTGAAAAAGCAGAACTACCCTCAACGTTTACTAGGCTTTCCATCTTTACGGAAGTAGACGGTGGCATCCTTCCTCCTCAAGTGGCTCCTAGGTTTGAACTGCCAACCTTGTACTCAGCAGCTGAGTATTTTACTGACTCAGCAACCAGGTCTCCTTTATCGAACCTAAATACATTCTTAAATTATCTTTTCCTTGGCTTCCAATTCCCAGGAGGAAACCCGTAAAACCATATTTAAACCGATTCAATTAAAGCCAAATACTATAACATAAAGTGCACTTAAATCCAATGAGTTTGCATTAAGTAGCTATTAAATGGGAAGGAGTCCTGATGGCACAATGGTTAAAGTGTTAAGATGCTTTCTGAAAGGTCAGGAGTTCAAATCCATCTGCTGCTGTGCCAATGAAAGCTGTGACAGTTTCTATAGGTTACAGCCTTGGAAACTCAATAGGGGATTTCTACCCTGTCCTACTGGGTGGCTTTGAGCCAGAATTGACGTGACAGCAATGGGAAAACCTCACAAAACCTACAGGATATAAGTTATATCATTTCCACTGTATTTCTACAAATTAAGCAGCTATAGCTTGCATCTCAAGTTATTTCTGCAAATGACACTCATACTGGGTAATTACTGTTGACAACTAAACCAAGCCTGAAGCAGAACAGCTAATTTTAAAAGACTAACTTTTTAATTATTACTGTGGTATTTTATCTGTTCTTTTTATGATTGCTACAATTTTTTACATCCATGATCTTTTAAACTATTGATGAGTAATATTTTAGACAGAAAAGTAAGATAAAAATACAATACTAAGAGACTTCTGCTTAACTAACATCAAAGTTAGCAAAACTGCAAACATTCCATAAAATTACTTTATTATTTCACTAAGATAGTGAGATATTGATCTATTTGGTTATGGGCTTTCTATTGCCTTTAAGGTGGCCTAGTGCTAAGAAGCTTTGCTGCAATCTCAAAGACTGTGGTTCAATTCAGCAGCTGTTCCAGGGGAGAAGAATGGGCAGTCTCCTCCCATGTGATCTACTGTTTCTTAAAACCCCCTGAAGGATAAGATATGAGTTCATTCCAACTCAGTGGAACACAACAACAAAACATATGCATGGTGACTGCAGCAATGAGCTTGAGTATATGAGAGATGAAGAGGATGGCACAGGATAGGGGAGGGTTCAGATTTGTTGATTATAGGGTTACTATGAGTCGTACTTGACTTGATGTCACCTAACAACACCAACAATTGCCTATGTATGAAGTTGGAAGGGCTGTTTCAGAATGTTAGTACTTGTGGATTGTATTATACAGAAACTGCATTGGTGAAAGCCACATTCTTTTACAGCATTTTTAATGCAGTTGGAATAAAGTAATCATAACAATGTCTGAAATAATGTTTCTCTTTCAGAAAATCTGGTGACAACACAGTATTTTGGTTGTCACTCCTGGCCGTACTTAGCATACATGACTTTTGTACTGAAAAATTTCTATTAACTATTCAAAAATATGAGAAAATGACCTTTCATAAAGTTATTTCAAATATTTTGCAAGAATATATCCAACTTAGCTAATAGGTGTATTTGGAAAAATAGTTTCTTTTGTATCTATCTGAAATGCAGTTATGTGTTATTTTAACAAAAATGCCTATATTAAATTACTTTTCAAAATTTCCTTTTCCTGAATTCTAGCCAGCCACATATGGTATCTTAAACTGTATCCAACATGAAAAATTTAGAAGTCCAACCTGTAGAATTGTCATAAATGAGTTTCCTGTTAATTCATCAGAATATTAAAGTTTGGAGGCTTTTTTTATCCTTCTGCACCCAAAAACATAGTGGATGATGTGGAACTACTGCTTACATTTCATTTTTAATTAGATTGGAAAATCAAGTGTGTCTGTGTGTTGGTTGGTCAATTCAACAAACACCAGTCAACTGAGGACACACTCTTTGACAAATGATATTTCAAAAATTTTGCTCAGATTTGTTTTAAAGAAATTCAGAATACTCATCTTAAAAAAATTATTTTCATCATCAGAAAGATTTTTGTTTTTTTCTCTGATCTTCAGTTTGCATCCAAAGTATTTGTAAGCATCTGAATAAATTATTTAAGATTGTGGGAGAACATTAATTTACTAACATTTTATTACTTTTGAGTTTAAAGAATAAGATTTAAACTTCATTTTAGTTTAATTTTTCTTAATCTGACAAGATTAGTATACTATAGTTTACACTTCAATTTCTCTATTTCTATTCTGGGTGTAAGTTCCTAACAATTTTTTATGTATACACACACTTTAGCTCATATAATATTTTCATCACAGAAACACTAGGCAAATATTAGTTAGAATTATTCTAAACAGGGTTAACAAATAATAAGTAACATGAAAGCATTAACACTTTATGTATCTGGAAGTCAACGTACAAACTTTAGAATACATGTGAACTTAAATTGTAAATAAAAATGCAACAAAGGAATCACAAACAACTTCTGTGTCTGCTAAAGAAAATATTTCAAAATTATTATAAATAACATTTAATATTTTTAAAATAATTTATTATTTATACTATTACAGCTAGCATTCATTATAATAGCAGAATGTATTAGAGAGAATTTTTGACACCTATTCTTATCTGAAATGCTGTCATCACTTTGAAAATTTAGGACACAAAAGTGACAAATTATAAAATTTACAAAAATGACTATCCACAAAACTAGATCTAATTTATATGTATTTCCTCTTAAAAATTATTTCTCTCCTGCTTTATTACATTATAGATTTTTATAACTAGCTTCAACTAATATATTGTTTAATAGATTGGTACTCATAGAAACTGTAATTTTCTTACCAAATGAAACAATTTTTCAGTTTACTAAAATGTCGATTGCTCCCAATACTTTATTAAATTGAGTTCTAGAAGTGTATTTTAGCTAAAGAGAAACAAGAAATCAAGAAAAAGTTATAATATTATGAGTTAGAACTAATGGCAAATAAATATTGATTAAAACAAAATAAAACTCACTGACTTTGAGTTGATGTGACTCAGGGTCATTTGAGTGAAATATTGATGATAACTATTAAATTAATTAAAGAAACAGCTTTCAAATACATAAACCTCTTGGTTTTGGGTTTTACTTGTTTATTTGTTCAGCACTCTTTGAGAATTTTTTTTAATCCAAGTATACTAATTTGCATACGATATCAAGGCTCTTCAATTCAGACAGAACATTTTGTTAATGTGATTCAAAAAAATGCAAAATTTCATATGGAAATGGCTCCTAAATTTCTTACATAATCTGTAGCCATTATCTTGATATACACATTTTGAACAGTGGTAAATGAGCATGTAAAACTGAGGGGATATTTGGTATTTGCTTCAAGAGTGAGAAGTGTAAAACCGATATTGACTCAACTTGTTTTAAATGGTCTTAAATGTATATATATATTTTGCAATTCTATATAAATATCCTTATTTTAAGTTACACAGTCTCTTGGAGGGGAGCACAAGCAACAGTTCCATTCCACCATTAGGTGAGGTCACACACTTAATTCCATTGTGTGGCATAATAGATCCATTTGGTTGGTTGGTTAATTCAGGTGGATCAGAGACTAACGGGATTTGGCACCAAGGTAAGGATTCATGGAGTTAACATCCACAGGATCTATGCATTACGTGATAGTAAGAGACATTTACAACCTAGAATATAAGAGCAGGGCAGCCTCAAGTGACATCACCAGATCATCTGCAGCGTCAACCAACCGACTCAAATATATATCCTACACACCACTGCTCCCTTCTCTTTCTCACTTTTGGCAAAGCCTTCATAGTCTTCACTAGAATTAAAGAGCTTGTATCCGCTTTTAAGAGCCAAATGCATGCTTACTCAATGAAAAACAAAAGAAACTAGAGGTATTAAACAAAATTATAAAAAACAAGATGATATTTAGAGACTAGGAAAAACAACGAAGAATTAAAGGTGAAATTAACCTGAATTATCCAGATAAGAAAGAGACACCCGATTATCCCAGAGCTAAACCTTGTTTTTAACTCTGGTCTGTTTCTGAGCAAGGCATCTGTGGGAATCCTGAATTTCTTTCTTTAGAAATTAAATCAACAGCAGCAGCAACAACAAGAATGATGAAAACTCTGCTCTCTCATCTAAATTTCTCTTCAAATTCATCCAGAACTTAGTATGTTTTACTTACAGGCGTTTGTTACAGCAAAACTGTTGGCTGTCTCAATGTTGTCCACGTGAGGTACCAAATTAAAAGGAGCTTCCGACGCATTGGGGCTGGTGTTATGAAGAAAAATTGCTAATCGGAAAGCAGTGTATTCCTGATCTGTGTTTCGGATGAAGAGACCACCTATGAAAAGCAGGAAAAGCATATTTAGTATTTCCTCTGTTAAATGATCCACCCATCTCAAGTACAGTCAAATCTACTGCCTTTGACAAGCATGAGCATAAGGAACTCTGACACATCTTAAGAGACCGTCCTTTGTCCAGAAGGTTTATGCTTAGTATTTTAGTCTTTCCAACAGCTCAGCTTTTTCCTGTCCCAATTTGTCATGATCACAATGACCTCTGAGACCATTTAGTGTGTTTTTCTTTCTCTCTCTTGCCCTCCCCATGATGCCTAGCACTCTGCTACATCAGCCAGCTAAGGGCATTTCTTTCTAAGAGGCATGCAGATGAAAGGAAAAGAGGATTTGCATTCAAATGCAGAAATGAAGGGTTGTGGTTGAGAAGCAGGCAAAAGGAAAATCAGAGAGGAGAAATGAACTTTCTTTTCCTGCAGCTCGTGGACTCAGCCTATAGAGCTCTGTTTTGTGCACAGTCCACGGGAAATGATGCAGTGTTGAAGCTGGGCTTAGCTGGAAGAAATTCAATAGCTGCGTCCCATTAAAAGACAGGCGAGGAGAACAGCAAGAAAAGCCAAGGATGTCCCCAGAAATTGAGTTGAGATACAGACATACATGGGGGAAACCGTCAAGCAGAGGACAAAATAAGAGGCGCCTTCAGCAAAGGCATCTAACTTTGGAATCGGTTAAATGATAACAAGAGACGGAGGTTGCAGGTCGAAACGCTTTTCTGCTCTAACAGAGTCCTTCTGTCACAGCAAGAAAGCTGCAGGAGTCCAGAGTAGGAAGAAGTGATTTCATCCCCCTCATAACAAACTAGACAGACATCCTTCATACTCCAGGAAAGCGATGAAAAGAAATAGCATATAAATGCAATCATATTCCACGGAGATTGGTTTCCAAACCCCCAATTTATTCCAATGCTACTTAAGGGACTTGAGCCAGAGATGGTATTAAGTGCCTGGGCCCTAGGAGGGAAAGGTAGGCAGTCCTGTGTACATTTTATCTGAATCTGCACCAAAAGACAGTTTTCCATAAAGCAGAGAAAGGAAGCAGAGAGAAAGGCAGCAGAAGGTTTGCTCGAATTGCTTATCAGTAACTCATTTAACTCACTTTTTGGAAATCTGCTACAATCAGCCACATGCAAACATCACTGGAGCAGAACTTACCTATCTGCACGCTGCTCGGAAAGGCTCCCATGGCGAGTCCCCAAAATCCAGAAAACAACAAGACAATCTGTCTGCAAATAATCCTCATCTTCTTTTCTCCTCTCCCTGGCGCGCGCTCTCTCTTTCTCTCGCACTCTTCCTAAACACTGCTCAGAGAGGCATTGAAGAGGAGGGCGCTAAAATTAAAAACAACCAAAAAAAAAAAGATAAAAGAAAAAAAAAAGGAGAGAGGTTTGGGTGGTTTCTGGTCCTGACTACTCCCCTTTAGCAATCCATCTTGAGCTGCCAAATTTTTCCCGCAGTCTCCATAGCCCTGGGAGAGGAGGTTTGCTGTCCGGCTGCAAATGTTGCACATGCAAAAGATGGTGGTGGAGCGTCTAGTGGCTGCTCACAGGGATGAGACATGCGCTCTCTCTGCGCCTCCCCGGCACTGGCGCTCGCCCCTCGTCCTCACATACACACAAACACAGGC